TTCCAGAAGGAAAGGAAACTGAGGTAGACATGGAAAAAGTATTTCAAGAAATAATGACAGAAAACTTTCCTGAAATAGAGAAGAAAAAACCCACACAAATCCAAGATGCTCGCAGAGTCCCAAGCAAAATGAATCCCAGAAAACAGACTCCAAGGCATATTATAATTAAATTGGCAAACAACAACGACAAAGTAAGAATCTTAAAAGCAGCCAGAGAGAGACAGAAAGTTACATACAAAGGAACCCCCATCAGACTAGCAACTGATTTCTCAACGGAAACTTATCAGGCCAGAAGGGAATGGGATGAAATATACAAAGTCATGCAAAGAAAGGGTCTGAATCCAAGAATACTGTACCCAGCAAGGCTATCAATCAAAATTGAAGGGGAAATCAGGAGCTTCACAGACAAAAAAAGACTGAAGGAATTTATCTCCACCAAACCAGCAATGCAAGAAATGCTAAGGGGTCTACTGTAAAAATAAAGAAATATTAAGTGAAGAAGGAACACAGGGGTATAGATTAAAAATGGCATCAAATGAGTACCTATCATTAATAACTTTAAATGTAAATGGTTTAAATGCTCCAATAAAAAGACATAGGGTAACAGATTGGATAAGAAAACAAGACCCATACATCTGTTGTCTACAAGAAACCCACCTCAGAAAAAAAGATGCACACAGACTGAGGGTGAAGGGATGGAAAAAAGTTTTCCAGGCAAATGGAAATGAAAAAAAAGCTGGGGTAGCAATACTTATATCTGACAAATTAGATCTCAGATTGAAGGACATAATAAGAGATAATGAAGGCCACTTCATAATTCTAAAGGGAACAATCCAACAAGAAGAAATTACCCTGGTAAATATATATGCACCCAATACAGGAGCAACCAAATACATAAAAAAACTGCTGGAGGACATTAAGGGAGAGATTCATAGCAATACAATCATAGTAGGAGATTTTAATACCCCTCTGTCACCCTTTGACAAATCATCTAAACAAAAAATCAGCAAAGAAATATCAATCCTAAATGACTCACTAGACCAGATGGAATTAATTGACATCTTCAGAACACTCCACCCCAAAGCCGCAGAATATACATTCTTCTCAAGTGCACATGGGACATTCTCAAAGATAGACCACATTTTGGGACATAGGCAAAGTCTCTTCAAATTTAAGAAGATAGAAATCGTATCAAGTATCTTCTCAGACCATAATGGCATAAAACTGGAAATTAACTACAATAAAAATAATCCAAAGAAATCAAACACATGGAGATTAAACAGCATGCTATTAAACAAGGACTGGGTTACCAGAGAAATCAAGGAAGAAATTAAAAACATCCTGGCAACAAATGACAATGAAAACACAACAATCCAAAATCTATGGGACACAGCAAAAGCAGTTTTGAGAGGGAAGTTCATATCCTTACAAGCCTATTGCAAAAAACTAGAAAAAAGGGTAACAGATGATCTAACTCTACAACTCAAAGAATTAGAAAAGGAGCAACAAGAAAAGCCCAGTGTAAGCAGAAGGAAGGAAATAACAAAAATCAGAGCACAGATAAACGACATAGAGACCAAAAAAACAATACATAAGATCAACAAAACCAAGAGCTGGTTTTTTGAAAGAATAAACAAGATAGATGAACCTCTAGCCAGGCTAACCAAGAAACAAAGAGAGAGGACCCAAATAAACAAAATCAGAAATGAAAGAGGTGAAATAACAACAGACCCCACCGAAATACAACAGATTGTTACAAAATACTACGAACAACTCTATTCCAACAAACTGAACAACCTGGACGAAATGGACATATTCCTAGAAAAATACAACCTTCCAAAACTCAATCAGGAAGAATCTAAAAATCTTAATAGACCAGTAACGTGGGAAGAAATTGAAACAGTCATCAAAAAGCTTCCAGCAAACAAAAGCCCAGGGCCTGATGGCTTCACAGGAGAGTTTTACCAAACATTCAAGGAAGAACTAAAACCTTTCCTCCTCAGACTATTCCAAAAAATCCAAGAGGAAGGAACACTTCCAAACTCCTTCTATGAAGCCAGCATCACCCTAATACCAAAACCAGATAAAGACAACTCAATGAAAGAGAATTACAGGCCAATATCCCTCATGAACATAGATGCCAAAATCCTCAACAAAATTCTAGCAAATAGACTCCAGATGAACATCACAAAGATCATACACCATGACCAAGTAGGATTTATTCCAGGAATGCAAGGATGGTACAATATCCGCAAATCAATAAACGTGATACATCACATAAACAAACTGAAAGATAAAAATCATATAGTCATATCAATTGATGCAGAAAAAGCATTTGATAAAATCCAACACCCTTTCCTGATAAAAACTCTTAACAAGGTGGGAGTACAAGGATCATACCTCAACATAATAAAAGCTATATATGATAAACCCACAGCCAACATTATACTCAATGGGCAAAAACTAAAACCATTCCCTCTAAGAACAGGAACAAGACAGGGATGCCCACTCTCGCCACTCCTGTTTGACATAGTTCTGGAAGTACTAGCCATTGCAATTAGACAAGAGGAGGAAATAAAAGGCATCCAAATTGGAAAAGAAGAAGTAAAGTTATCCTTATTTGCAGATGACATGATACTGTACATAAAAAACCCAAAAGACTCCATTAAAAAACTAATTGACTTAATAAATGAATTTGGCAATGTAGCAGGATACAAAATTAATGCCAAGAAATCCACGGCATTTCTATACACCAACAGCGAAACTATAGAAATAGAGATTAAAAAAGCAATTCCATTTACCATCGCACCAAAAAAATTAAGGTACCTAGGAATAAATTTAACTAAGGAAGTAAAGGACCTATATGCAGAAAACTACATGACACTGAAAAAAGAGATAGAGGAAGATGTAAAGAGATGGAAGAATATACCATGTTCATGGATCGGTAGAATCAACATCATCAAAATGTCCATACTTCCTAAAGCAATCTATAGGTTCAATGCACTCCCCATTAAAATACCAACGGCATATTTCACCGACCTAGAAAGAACTCTCCAAAAGTTCATTTGGAACAATAAAAGACCCCGAATAGCCACAGCAATCCTGAGAAAGAAGGGTAAAGTAGGAGGGATCTCAATACCAGACTTCAAACTGTATTACAAAGCCACTGTTCTCAAAACAGCCTGGTACTGGCACAAGAACAGACATATAGATCAATGGAATAGAATCGAGAACCCAGATATCAACCCAAATCACTATGCTCAATTAATATTTGACAAAGGAGGCACGAATATACAATGGAGTCAAGACAGTTTCTTCAATAAATGGTGTTGGGAAAATTGGGTAGACACATGCAAAAGAATGAAACTAGATCACCAACTTACACCATACACAAAAATAAACTCAAAATGGATACAGGACTTAAACATCAGACGGGAAACCATAAAAATACTAGAAGCATCCGCAGGCAGCAAAATCTCAGACGTATGCCAAAAGAACTTCTTCACTGATACTGCCCCTAGGGCAATGGAAGCTAAAGAGAAAATAAACAAATGGGACTACATCAAAATAAAAAGTTTTTTTACAGCAAAAGAAACCATCAACAAAACAACAAGAAAGCCCACGGTATGGGAGAATATATTTGCAAATAATACCACGGATAAAGGTTTAATCTCCAACATCTACAGACAGCTGATACAACTAAATAAAAGGAAGATGAATGATCCAATTAAAAAATGGGCAATGGACCTAAATAGAATATTTACAAAAGAAGACAGAAAGAAGGCCAAAAGGCACATGAAAACATGCTCAAAGTCACTAATTATCCGAGAGATGCAAATCAAAACAACAATGCGGTACCATCTCACACCTGTCAGAATGGCCAACATCAACAAATCAACAAACGACAAGTGTTGGCGAGGTTGCGGAGAAAAAGGAACCCTCGTGCACTGCTGGTGGGAATGCAGACTGGTGCAACCACTGTGGAGAACAGTGTGGAGTTTCCTCAAAAAACTGAGAATGGAACTCCCATTTGACCCAGTAATCCCACTTCTTGGAATATATCCCAAGAAACTAGAAACACCAATCAGAAAGGATATATGCACCCCTATGTTCATAGCAGCACAATCTACAATAGCCAGAATCTGGAAACAGCCGAGGTGCCCGTCAGCTGATGATTGGATCCAAAAACTTTGGTACATCTACACAATGGAATACTATGCTGCCATAAAAAAGAAGGAATTCTCATCATTTGCAGCAACCTGGATGGAATTGGAGAACATCATGCTGAGTGAAATAAGCCAATCAATGAAAGAGAAACACCACATGACCCCACTCATTTGTGGATAATAAAGATCATTATAAACTGATGAACCAAAAGATAGATATAGAGACAGTAAAGCAACAAGCAGATTGTCAAATTACAACGGGGAGGGGAGGAGGGTCTGGGGGAGACAATAAATCAACCCAAGGACTTGTATACCTGCATATAAGTACAACCAATGGACATAAAACTCTGGGGAGGGAGGGGATACATGGGAGGGAAGGAGGGGGGCAAAAAAAATCAATAAAATATGTAAAATAAATAAATTAATTAATTAAAAAAAAAAAAAAAAAAAAAAAAAGGCAAGATGTCTTTGAATCTCTTTATTGTCAGGCTACATTGGTGTCAGTAAAAATATACCGCCAAAATGCAATGCCATTCAAAAAGACAGGTTATAGTGTTGCTGATCCTGTCTAAGAACATTGGAAAACAATTTCCAGAGAGTTCTTAAAGCCAGAGGAAATCTATTGGCAAGCACCAGAAATCCAGTAAATGCCCAGTGAAGTACAAATTCATTAAATAAACATTGTGCAGTAACAGCATGGCATTTTTACCATAATAAACTGCCAAAAACAAATAAAATTTTTATATCTCACCATTATCCTACTATTTTCTTTGAAACTATTATTTCTGAACAAAATTCCCAATAAGAATAGGGCTGTGAAATATTCATTCTTACCCTCAACATAAGGTCCTTCTTTTGGATGCTCCCGGACTCTTAAATTGAAGGTTTTGGATGACTTCCGCCTAAGTAGATCTCGCACACGTTCATTATAAATCTCTAAGTAGCTGGAAATTTTAAATAGAACTGAATTCAGAACAATTATTTCAGATATTAATAGCAACAGTAATAACAGCAGCAACATGCATTTATGGGTGCTAACTGTGCAGCTGGTACTACATTAAGTGTAATATGTCATTTAATCCCAACAACAACCCAGAGGTAAGTGGCACAATTATCCGCATTTTATAGGTTAGGCAATGGAGCTTTACGGTGATTTAGACAACTTGTCTAAGGCCGTCCAGCTACTGAGAGGTCAAGCACGCTTGACGGCAACATCTGTTCTCAAAACCACTGAAGAGCCTGGCTCCTAGGAAAGGTTTAATTTCAAAAAGGAAAAAAAACAAAAAAAAAAAAAAAAACCACCTCAATCATGAAGACTTATTTAGAGAGTACACTTATAGTAATCCTACCAACATAGAGAAAAACACAAACCATATTCAGCTAAAAGAATAAGGTAAGTGAACTGGGTATACACATAACACTCAAAAGCTCACCCCATTTAAACAAAACATCCAAAAATGAGTGTTTCTGGCCAATGTGGGTTATTTCTACCAGCCTCCCAAATCCTAAAGCAAATTGTACTTAAGACAGTCACTGAAAGTAAACAAGTTTTAAGATTGATGTCCTACTACCATGCTTCAGGAGAGGGGAGAGACAGATTCTCCCTTCAGAACCCAGAGGTGTTATGTATTCCGGGTGCCTAAAGGTAAGCTCCAACCAAAGTCATAGGCACTCAGGCCACAGGCCCTACCTGACTTCAGTTCGAAAAGAGGCTTCATCCCATCTGGTGGTTTCACTTATCCGACTGAAGAGCCCTTCACATATCCGAGGTATTAAGCCAGAATCACCCTGCAGTGGGACAGAGGGAGGGCAACAGCTGTCACTTGAAACAAAAGCAACTGGTGACTGAATATGTCAATTGCTGGAGGGGACTCAGACTCAAGGTCCCCATGCCACCCTGAAGTTTACCACCCCAGTGCTCAGGTCATACCATTTCCCCCCAAAATTGCTTCCTACTCTCTGAAATAAGAGAGCTGAGCTTTTTAATTTCTATGCACTGAGATTATGGTAATATGGGGTTAGCAACTATTAAATGTTAAATCGTGCCATGCAAACATAAGAAAATAAAAGGGTCTACAGCTATCGAATCAATGTTAAAAATCAGATCTATAACCAAGGAAATTGAAATTCTTTTGATGCACTAATCCCTACACTGGCCTTCCCAGAGAGGAAAAGCTTAATACAGTGTATTACTTATGCAATGGGGGCATGATCAATAATTTGCATGTTCACTCAGCATTAACAAGCTGATGAACATCAGATCGATATGAAAGATGAGGCAACATGTTGTTAGAAAACAAAACTCCAGAGCTTCAATGTTTTCTTCCGAAGTCCAGCCCCATCTTTCCTCAATCCCCCACCCCCACAAAAGAAATAAAAGAGATCATAGCTATAACAGATTCATTTCTTTATATCATTAAATCAGTACAAATTCTTATTAAGAAAAAAATAAAACTTACCATACTGTAAGTCCTTAGTTTACAAAATAAATTTTTAAAAATACACAAATAGTACTCAACTGTAAAGTCAGAGCAAATAGTTGTAATTTATGAGTACTTTATAAATGTTTCACTTACAGAAAATAGCTCCAGGGAAATTTAACTTTTAGATAAGGTTTTCTCCAAAGGCACAGTAGGAGAGCAGGAAGAAGAAATAAATGATAGAAAGCAAATGTGTCTGCTTGTTCTTCCCTATTTATTCTTCCTTGCTTTTCAGCCCTGGAGACTCTCCTCACAGCATCATCTACTAATCTTGGCAAGGAAGAGCCTGGAGTTAGAAGTCAAGAGGCACATACTGAAATGCTGTCATAGGGATTGACCCAGCCTCCGACTGCACTGCTACTTCCTTGTGCCACCCAACCATTAGTACTAAAGGCACCACTGTGCTGCCAGCAGGAGCCTGAGGTCCTTTGTTCTACCTCTAAGGCCACAGGCCCGAGAGTCAGTGAAGTTTTCACCAGGACATAAGAAAAGAAAAACAGCACTACTAAATCTGGAGAAAACACAGACAAGATCAAGTTCCTGCAATAATGCCTAATTTTTGTTTTGTTTTGTTTTTGTTTTTTATTTTTATTTTTAAATATATTTTATTGACTTTTTACAGAGAGGAAGGGAGAGAGACAGAGAGCTAGAAACGTCAATGAGAGAGAAACATCGACCAGCTGCCTCTTACACATCCCCTACCGGGGATGTGCCCGCAATCAATGTACATGCCCTTGACTGGAATCGAACCTGGGACCTTTCAGTCCACAGACTGATGCTCTACCACTGAGCCAAACCTGATTAGAGCCCTATTTTTTTTTTTTTTTTACTACTCCATATTTTGGGGCAAATATAACTCTAATGTTTGTTCAATTATATAGCATAACTATTGATACTAAACTCTACATACTGTGTTGATAACCATATATACTCTATATAAACTAGATCATTCTAATCCTTTTTATGCATTTGCTTGATTTATACAGCACCTTTCTACCAAAGACTTTGATTTTTTTTTTTTTTTACATTTTTCTTGGGGGGGGCGGGGGATGTTTTAAATAATTTTAAAAAGAAGAGAGTTCAGTAATTTTATTCAAACTGTTCTGTTGGCAGAAAAGAAGAATAAATTACTTAAGGGCCCAGTACACATTTTTGATAAGATTATAAAGTCTTTAAAAATGGAAAATGAACTGAGGCTTGATCCATTATTCATGCTTATAAACTTAAAACTGTTTCTAATTTAAAATCTCTGAAAGGACATTTAGTCCAACTTATTACTGAGTTTTATCTTATTGCAGAAGAATGATCAGAACATGAAAAGCAAGTTAGTACAGACCAAGCAGATAAAGAGACAATTCTATCAGCCCAAAGACAGAGAATGAAAAATGCTCTTCCCACAGTATAAACAACGTACAGAGTTTCCCATCATCGTGTATGACTTTCCCGATCCAGTCTGTCCATATGCAAAGACACAAGCATTATAACCTTCAAATGCAGACTTCACAACATCTGTGCCGAGGGTTTTGAAAACCTGAAAGCCACAAAAACGCAAAAGATATTACCATGGGTTTTAATAAAAGCCCCTTCAGTGCTGACAATACTCTTGAATGCTACTTTTATCCTAGAAGGATTACACCACATAAATAAATCACTGCAGAACAGTTAACAGCAATATGTATGTGTACCCTAGTTTTCGATGAAAAGGAAAGCTTTTTAAGCAAGCAAAAAGCAACCCCCATTTTTTTTCCTACTTACATAACAAAAAAAAAACCCCTTTAAGTAAAAAAAAAAAATGAAAATAAGGCAAAGTGACAATTATGTACAGAAGCAAAGATAATTTAAAAGCATGATGATTTACCATTTCAGAATTAAATAAACTTATAGTTATTCATTCTATCAGAGCTTCCAGAAACTAAATATTCAAAACCTGAAAGTCACAGCAGCGAGAAGTTATGCCCAAACTATGCCAAATCAATGCCATCACTCTAAAGGTCTGGCTATTCATCAAAGCAAGTGTCTGAAGGTGGAGGGGGCAGAATGGCTGAGCTTCCAGAGTCAGTCCAGATGCTTTTTTCTACTTGGATGTTTGCCCACGATGGAGAGGGCTGCCTGGGGTCTATGCCTGTCGTGTCTACTGTGCCATATAATTGCAGTGGACACTCTGGATGAAGGACAAATATTTCACCCAGAAAACTGATATAAATGAGTCAAGTCAAGATGTGTGGTCATTCTACTCACACCTGCCTGGGAAGTGGATGGAGCAAAGCTCTCCAAATCCCCACAGCCTCATGTTGCCCCCACCCTCCTGGATTAGCACACAAGGGCACATAAAGCACCTCCCTGCTTTAAAAACAATGCTCATCAGCCGCTGCAGAATTATCAATGGAGGGACTGGATCAGATCCCATCAGAGTCAGAGAAAAGTGAGACACTGCCCTGTGGGGCCATGACACTCCTCATCACCCCCTCCGGAGTGCCCAGACCCATCACCGACACTGCAGGGAGCGAGGGCCCTCCAGTGGAGCACTTTCCTCCTAGGAAGGGCTACTACAAACTGGCCATCTCCAACTCAGCTCCACAAAAACCTTCCCAGCTATCCAAGGCCTGTCATCCAAGGCTAAGACAAATTACAGACAGCTGGACTCCTGCTGGCTTCAGTCACCTTTCCCGCCATTTTGTTTGGACTTTGTTTCCTCAGTCTTGTCCGTCATTTCACAAATTATCATTTTAATGGAGTCATTTCCACAAGTGACCAGTCTCATTCATTCTGACTTCATGCTTTCCATTTCAGCTTTTAGGAACTGATGTTTTCTGTTATTATTTTCAAATTCTGATGACTCATTCAACTCTCAACTGTAATAGCAGCGCACACTGTGCTCATGTATTCAGCCTCGTAAAAAACGTTACAGGGTGAATAATGTGGCTAGATCGATTTTTCAGGGGCAGAGGTTAGATCACTGGGTGAGCAGAGTGAGTGGCAGAGTTAGGATTTGCCACCTGGACCTTCTAACATAAAAGCCTCTGCATCTAAAGGCCTCATAGCTATGGATCATCTTCCCATACCCTGGACACCAACCATACTATCCTACCTGGAAAGATGCCTTTCCCCATTCTCCTCCTCCTCCACCTCCACCACCACCACCCAACTTCTGTGAAGAAGTAGAAGCCAGGAATCTCACGGAGACTCAGGGCTCCAGACCCCCCACTGGCTTTCACCATGATATATGGAATATGAGGGGAAACTCAATCTTTCTTCAATTCTGTCTGATTAAACAAAAGGAATCCATCATCTTTATCATTTCATAGAGTATCAATGGATAGGAAGAACAACCTTCCGTAAGTTCCCAAAGGATAAAGGAAGGAGCTCCTCTCATACTTTTGCCTGGGCTAAAACTAAGTGATGGAAAATATCATGTTTAAACCAAACTCAAGTTATCCAAATGAAATTCATCCCAAGGGTTAAAATCCACACCCACCATTCTGCTTCTTCTTTACGTTCCCCAAAGCTAACTCAGCTGGGATTCTCCGACAGCCGGTGGGGCGGTGGGGTTGGAGCTGGTGGACATGGCTGTAAAACGAGCCTACACAGTGCAGATATGGAGGAATTGAGACCCAGGCCTGGCTCAGTCTCAAGTAAACTCTCCAAAGTTGGGTTGGGACCTGGAGAATCAGCCAGACACTGCTCACACCTCCCAGGTCCTAGGCAAGAAAAGAGGGACCCATCGCAGCTTCCACAAAGGAGTTATTTACCATCATCTACCACACAGGGTAGGGAAGGAAGGGCTGCTTTAAGAGACTGCTTTCACTACTGGCATCAACCCCACTGACAGCCTCACTTGGCCAGGTTATCCAAAAGCCACCTTGCTCCTTGACTGAGTAGACTGTATAGCTGGTTTCCAGAGTAACCCAATTTATCACAGGACCTGACTTCAGGGGAATTGCCCACAAGAGGGCACTGTTAAAAAGACTTCCACCCAGCTTGTCAACTGGGAGATTTTAGGTTTCAAGTTTCTCCAGAGGTGAAACAAGGAACAGGTTGTGTGAGATCAAAGCCTCCCTCAGGAGTTTTTGAAGAATCACTAAGAAAATAAGATCTTATTTAATGGACTTTAATTTACATGAGTTTAGCTTTAAATAGCTCACTGATTTTTTTTTTTCCTGAATCTAAAATGAATTTGGTCATCTTCGTATTTGATTAACATTAGGAAACTTGACTTGAGCCAGAGTAAGTTGCATAATATATTTTCTCAAGATGTCTTTTTAAATTTTATTTTATTGTTTTTAATCTTCACCCAAGGGTATGTTTTTACTGCTTTTAGAGAAAGAGGAAGGGAAAGGAAAACAAACATCAATGTGAGAATCATCAATTGATTATCTCCATTTGTGCCCTGACCAAGGATCAACCACAACCGAGATAGGTTCCCTGACCAGGAACTAAGCCTGTGTCCTTTTGGTGTACATCATTTGTATATGTTTGTTTTTCTTGTTTTTCATTTGTTGCATTCAATTTTATATTCCACATATTAATAAATCATATGGTTCTTGACTTTTCCTATCTGACTTATTTCACTTAGCATGATATTCTCAAGATCCATCCATGTTGTCATAATTGGCAGTATTTCATCTAGTCTTATGGATAAGTAGTATAAACCTTTCAAATCTTATAAACCTTTCAAAATACCTTTATATTAAAATTTAAAAAAAAAAAAAAAGGAGGAGGAAGAGAGGGAAGAGAAGAGGAACAAAAAGGAGGAGGAGGAAGGGGAAGAAGAAAAGGAGAAGAAAAAGAAGAGAAAGGAGGGGGAAAAAATGGAAAGAAAGAAGATTAAGATGATAAACATCATGCTAAGTTGGCATCTTCCCCTGTTTATAGAAAGAATACAACCTGTCAGCTCAATTCCTATGCCAAGTATGGCGGCATGATAACTTCAGTCAATATTTGACATTGAAGACACTTTTAGAACAGTGGCTATTAAAATTAGGGATGAAGGCCCTGGCTAGTGTTTTCAGTGCTTAGAGTGTAGGGCCTTGCATCCAAAGGGTCACAGGATTCTGTCAAGGGCATATATCTGGGTTGTAGGTCGATTCCCAGCCCTGATCAGGGTGCCTGAGGAAGGCAACCAATTGATGTGTCTCTTTCACATCAATGCTTATTTCTTTCTTTCCCTCTCTCTTTCCTTCCCTCCCTCCTGCCTTTTACTCTCTCATCAAAAATCCAATGAAAAATTACCCTCTGGTGAGGATTAACAAAAGAAACAAAAAATAAGTATAAGGGAAGATTACCATTTGTTAATAGAGTTCTTAAAAAATAGGTATTTTCCTACCTCTATGCTGGTTTTATAAACACCTAGTTATACTAGAAAATAGTATTTACTACCATATTTCAAGGCTTTTTTAGTTTTATAATGTAATGGAACAATCTCAGATAATTTCAGAGAGTTGAAGAATTCAAAGCATCTAAGAAGAACATTGCACACATACCTGAACCATGAAAATTATCCTTATCAGCTGAAAGCTTTCACAATCTAAAACTGTATTTTAAAATTCTGGGCATTTATTCTTATCTCCCAAAAGAGTAAACCACCAATATTAACTCTTGAGGAACACGAAAATGTCATATGTTTCTGTAGTTTAACCACCATCCGCAAACGAGTTCTTTCAGTCAGCAACTGTTTACAGAATGTTTCCAGTGTGCCAGGCATGGAGTCACACACCACTCTACTCTCTGTACCTACAAGGCCTCAAATTCAAGTTAAATAACAGGGATATACAGCTGCTCATTAGGTAAGTTAGAAGTGGAGACCTTCATGGCTCTTCATTCATCCTCTGTTGAAGACATTCTTAAGACTATAGAATAAACTATTTCCCTTAACAAATTCCTTTATACCAGTCACTTCATTCCCATTGCTCTGTTAAAGCCAAAATCTGGATTCCAATATCTATAACATTTAATTCCTCATCAGCCTCCTAGTTACCAACAACTGATTAATCCGAAGACCTAAACACCAAAGTTACTGTCACTCACTCATTCATTATTTTATTCATTCAACAGGGCTGCCTGAACCATCTGTCATTTAGAGCACACCAATCTTTTTCTCTTATCCCCTATACACCAGCCCAGGATCTCAGCTCTACTATTGTCAAGGCGATCCAGCAAGTTATTTGAGCTCACTGGGTCTCTTCAAAAAAGAAAAATGGAGCTACCGTTTACCTCATTTGGTTCTTGTGAAGATTAAGTGAGACAGTGTACTTGAGCACCAAGCAGTTTCTGACACCAATACAAACTCAGGCAGCATCGGCTCATCTTTCCTCTCCTGGCACCTCTTTCATACCAGGCACTTCATCTCTTTTTACAGCTCCCATTCTCATTGTCCTTTCCATATCTCCCTGATGCTGAATCGACATTTTTCTGGATACAATCACTCCAGTCCTCTCATTCGAACAACTTATCTACGTTCACAACCTATCTTCCTCTAACATTTACATTGCCTCAGAAAGCCAATCCCTTCCACAATCCATTTGTAAACCAACTCAATTTCTTAAATGTTAAGGTGTGTGTAAATAACTTGGGGATTATGCTCAAAAATGCAATTTTGGATTCAGAGGTCTGAGATAGGTCCCGATATTCTGCATTTCTGATATGCTCCCAGGCAAGACCCATGATTCAGGTATATGTACACATCAAATTGCAAAAAAACAGACAAAATGCCATCACATGAATGGACTCAGGACACAATGAAATTTTTATCCTTGTTTTGAAACAAAAGTTATGATCATCATGCTTAGATTGAATAAATAAATAAATAAATAAATAAATAAATAAATCCTTTAGGGATTGAATTCTCAGGACTAAGATATATAACAACCGAAAAGCAATGACCAATTTTATATAAATTTTCTTTTTCAAAAATTAGATGTTTTAAGGAGTGTAGGATAGGCATGTTTTTCTTGGTATGAAAAATAAACCAAAATAAATATTCTGAAAATATCTTACCATTTCTTGTGAAACATAATCTGGACTTTTTGTATCAGCAGAATAAAAAGAAAAGTCATAAGTGAAGGTCTTGGTCCGTTCTCTCCCTGAGTCCCCAGACCCTCCTTCAGGTATCTAGAGAGATATGATATGATAATAATATAAAAAGAGCACTGTCAGTTGACAAATTATCTAAATTTTTTTCTTTGTAAAAAATATACAATGATCATCATTTCTCATATTTACATCCTAAGAAGCATTTAATTCCTCCTGACTAGGAGCTACCCACCTCCACCAAATGGAAATAAATCCAGAGTCAGTCTATGATATGACCCAAGGCTACTTCCCTGGATGTTTTACCATGATTACTTTATATGAAGCCAACACTCCAGCCAGACTCTATTTTATTCCATCCTCAGTGCTTTTCACTGTTCCCTCTACCAGAAACCACCAGCATCATGGGGAGGCATAACTCCAGGGGGTGCTATTCACATCATCCTGATGGGACTGGAGTTCCCTAGAGTTGTGTGATTTTGTGGCCCCATTGAGAACTCCAGATCAGAGGCTTCCTCTTCCATGAAGCGTCCCTTGGGCACTCCCATCTCTGAGAGCCTAGACTTTCCAAGATATATCATATCATTGCAAACATTTGCATATATCTTGTCTACCTTGGTCCATACCTAAAGTGAACCAAAACCCAAGTTTAAAAATCTTCATATGATACTAAAGCATCACACAGCTTCCAGGACACATGCTGAATAAATTCAATGAGCATCATATTTTTCCAACATAATTCAGACACTATAAAGAAAAATTGTCACCGGAACCAGTTTGGCTTAGTGGATAGAGCATAGGCCTGCGGACTGAAAGGTCCCAGGTTCGATTCCGGTCAAGGGCATGTACCTTGGTTGTGGGCACATCTCCGGTAGGGGATGTGCAGGAGGCAGCTGATTGATGTTTCTCTCTCATTGATGTTACTAACTCTCTATCCCTCTCCCTTCCTCTCTGTAAAAAAAAAAAAAAAAAAAAAAAAAAAAAAATCAATAAAATATACTTTAAAAATTTTTAAAGAAAAATTGTCAAGGTTCTTATTATTAATATGTTAAAAGTCTGGGCATATGTTCTGATTACATCAATTGAGGAAATGCTTATAATCTGGAAAAAGCAACAGAGTATTCAAGGAAAATAGACTCCACTATGCACAAGGAAAGGAGGCCTCTCACTTTGTTTCAGTAACTGCAATTTTTCAATGATTAAACTTTTACCACAGCACTGTGAATACACAAAGATACATGAAGCAAAGCCAAGCAAAGATAACTAGCAGCAGGGAAGGGAGGAGTGGTGACTGGAAGAAACTGAGAAGATGTGGGAGGTTAAAGGAGGGAAAGCTCACTGTGAGCCAAACAGAGCTAGAAGGTACAAGGACTCAGGTCAGTGGAGGAAGAAAGGCATTCCAGAGAGAATGCCTCAGGCAAAGGGACACCAGAGCTTCAAAGGAGGCCTATCAAATTATCTGGGGCATGGCCCAGTAGAAGACAGAAGCATTCCCTAGCTCCTATCAGAAAGCAAGTTGCACCACTTTGAAATCAGATTTCAAAGTGTCCAGTCCCTGGAGCCACAAATTAAAAGAAATCCAACCTAAGACTGACCTGATCTTGACCATTGAGCAACAGGCCTCAAAAATGCAACCCTGAAAGTTTACCACTGAGTATCTAAGGAGGAAGGGGATGAATCTATAAAGCTCCTGACTTATTATTAATATCACACCCTTATTTCCCCTCCTAAGTAAAAAGTACTCAAGGATTTAACAAATTCACTGATCAAAGAAATGAACAGGACGTTTGTTTTTTTTTAATATATTCTATTGATTTTTTACAGAGAGGAAGGGAGAGGGATAGTTAGAAACATCGATGAGAGAGGAACATCGACCAGCTGCCTCCTGCACACCCTCTACCAGTGATGTGCCCGCAACCAAGGTACATGCCCTTGACCGGAATTAAACCTGGGACCTTTCAGTCCATAGGCTGACGCTCTACCCACTGAGCCAAACTGGTTTTGGCTGAACAGGACATTTTAAGTGCAAGAGGAAGAACTTGTCATCTTAGAAATTATTTTTTCAATCATTTTTCAGGAAAAAAATCAGTGTTTTTATCTTTCATCCCCTAAATTTTGAATAACACCAGCTCCTCTTGCAAAGTTTATAAACATCTTTTTTTTTTTTCATTAAACATAAAAACAAACCAAGGACCAAAGCTTATTTAATAATTCACAAAACGTAGCCAATGGCTAGGCTAAGGATCCACCACAGGATACAGAATAAAAACGCCAGCATCTAGACTAAGCCAAGGAGCTCCCACGTCAGAGTGAGAGTTTGGTCTGGCTTTCAGATCAAAGGAAACCAGGGATGGGAGAGGAAACGGGATCAATCCTCTTGCTTCATGATGGAGCCCAAAACTAAGATCAAGTTGACATGCCTGAGTGAACTGAGAAAGGAATGCAGAAATGGCAGAAGCGTCTTATTTATCCACAAGTCACTATAACAAACATGGGGGCTCACGGAATGGGAGCAAGGGCAGGTTGCTACTTGCCTTTAAGTTTGTGATTGTTGTTTTGCTTTTCTCCATTTGTATAATGAATTTGGCTTCCAAGTCCTTTTCCCTACAACACAAAATATTCAGTTTGGTTAGGAGAGAAAAGATTAAAAAAAAAAAAAAAAAAACTGTGTTACTTTTACACATAGGAGTTTGTTTTTAAATGGCATCTGAAGCACAATCACTGAAACCACTTTTCCTGGATCCTTACAAATATAAACATGAAGACATACAAAACAGATACCATACCACCATCAAAAACTAAGACTGACAAATAACGAGTTGTTCAAACCTAGGAAAATGTCTAACTGTAAGTTAGAAGGAGTGGAAATGAGATGACAGAAACTAGAGAGGCCTGTGAATCATGAAAAAAAAACAGCCCACTCAACTGGATATAAAAAGAAAGATACTTTATCCCTGCACCCAAGATGAGAGCTAAGAAGAAAATGGAGTGAGTGGTCACAGCCAGGTGCTACTTCTAGAATCAGCCTGGGCACTGCCCCTGCTTTCTACCTTCTTCCCAGATCCATTCAGAAGAGGAAGTCAAGAAAATGCCTAAAAAAGTATAGTTCCCTAGAATAAATGCCCACATCTATACAACACAGTGTTACATCATTGAAAAACAAAGAGCTCTATACACAGCTATGGGGTGTAAGCCAGAATTAACTTATTGCTGAGAAGGAAATGCAAGAGGGAGAAAAACATACAAGGATACTACCGCTTATATTTAAAGATAATAAGGTTAATCTAATTATTTTTCAAAAAGCTACCCGATCCCCAGTCAGGGCAATCAAAAATGAATGCAGCCGAAACCGGTTTGGCTCAATGGATAGAGCGTCGGCTTGGGGACTGAAAGGTCCCGGGTTAGATTCCGGTCAAGGGTATGTACCTTGGTTGCAGGAATATCCCCAGTAGGGGGTGTGCAAGAGGCAGCTGATCGATGACTCTCTCTCATCAATGTTTCTATCTCTCTATATCTCTCCCTTCCTCTCTGTATAAAATCAATAAAATATATTTTAAAAAAAAAAGAAAAAAAAATGAATGTATAAATGTGGAACAAAATACCTCTCTCTCTCTCTCTCTCTCTCTCTCTCTCTCTCTCTCTCTCTCCTTCCTTCCCTTTCTCTCCCTCTCCCTTTCTCTCTCCCTCTCCCTCTCCCTCTTCCTTCTTCTCTTCATCTCTTTCTCTCCAAAAATCAATAAATTAATAAAAAAAAAGTTTTAATAAAAGCTGCCTATGGGAAAAGAAGAAAATGTACTGGAGTAAGCAGTGATAAAAGCTAGATTTCTTTTTTTTTTTATTTTATTGATTTTGTACAGAGAGGAAGGGAGGAGATAGAGAGCTAGAAACATCGATGAGAGAGAGTCATCGATCAGCTGCCTCTTGCACACCCCCTACTGGGGATGTGCCCGCAACCAAGGTACATGCCCTTGACCGGAATCGAACCCGGGTCCCTTCAGTCCCCAAGCCAACGCTCTATCCATTGAGCCAAACCGGTCTCGGCAAAAGCTAGATTTCTAAAACAACAATAACAAAAATATACCTTTATCTCTAAATCATCTATAGAATGGCAAAAGTAAAATGAAATTTTACACATTTAAAAAAAAATTATAAGGGTTTATTAGAGTTTATTTGAGCCAAACAGAAGATATGCCAGGAAGCAAGATCTCAACAGACTGAGAAAAATGCTTCCCAAAGTCGTATTTTAAAATAACCTAAAACGGAAACTTATAAGTTGAAGCAAATAAACCTAACTGTGCACTGCACAGTAAGAAACAATTTTAATTATGATTGTATGGAGGAATTTGACTGGAGAATGTAGTGGAACATAGCAAAAGGAGATAAAGAACTATAAAAAAATTAAAGCATTTTCAGTAATCATACTTTTGGTGAGGAAGTAAGTATCATCATTCTGAGATTTGTTTGTTTGTATATTGTGAGATAATAAATGAGTAATTATGTCAGTGTGACTGAGAAAGAAAGAGATATAAACATAATATTCATAAAGTTAAGTAAAAGCTCCCTCATCCTAAATCTGAATGGAAAGAAACTAGCAAGAACTTTATCTAAAACTGATAGAGCCCTGGCAGTGGGGAAGGTCCACTGCCCATGTACTGAGGAACTGAGGGTTGCCAGCAGCCATGTGGTGAGTGTGCAAGGGCCCTACCCCAGCCACACCCAGAGGTGGCTGTGGAGCAGGCTGGCACCTTAGAGTGCAATTAAGCCCCTACATTTGGGGTAGTTTGTTACACAGTAAGAGCTAACTGATACAAAGGCCATGTTGAAAAGACCCCGGAGTCAAACTTAGTAAGTTCCTACTGGCCAAAGTTGAGTGGCAAGAAGAATAACTGCAAAAGAAAGACACAGAATATGCATAAGTTCATGAAGTCATAATTGAGAAATAAAAATGAAATGGTCGCCTTTGAAGGATCAAAAGAATCACCTCATTATTTTGAAAGCTAGAAGATAAAGGGAAAGGACCCAGCATTTCCCTGGAATTTCCTAACAAACTGCATGCCAGAGTAATCAAACAATTGTTATAATTGTTGAGAAGTTCCTTTTTTCAAGATTTCCAGCTAATAAATGATGATGGAATGAAAACACTGGAATATCACCGTCTTGCAACCCCTGGTGAATTAATGGCACCAGGGAGTGACCATCAATGGCTGCTAACTGCACCCTCTAGGAGACAATGAGACATGCTGTGCATGCTGACTAAAGGACCAGCACTCCTGCCCAGAGTCTCCTCCCTCAGGAACCACCAGGAAATTCGGGGGCAGGGTGCCAGGGGGCAATCAGCACAACCAGCTTCTGGGAAAGCTGACAGATAAATGAACTCATTTACTCAACAACAATAACAGTTGCAAGGAATATAAAGATGGAATAGTAATCTATTCAAAAAGATTGGATCTCAATTCAAACAGAAAAGGGTGTTTGAAATTATATGTAGAGAATGTTAACACTGACCAGATATTTGATATTAAGGAATTATTATTACTATTTTAAATATGATGATTTCTTTAAAGTCTTACTCTTTTAGAGATTACTGAAATATTTACAAATAAAAATGATATGATGTCTGGGATTTACTTCCAAATGACTCAGGGCAGGAGGAAACAGGAGCTGGTGGCATCTGGCCACCTCCAGATGAACAGGCCCAGAACATGTTGTAAACACCGCTCAGAAACTACAGTGGTTCACAGAGAACCCATTTGGCTTTTCCAATCCAGTGTGACGAAGGGTGGCTATATGAAGCCAATAATGGCTTTAAAGACATACAAGAGAAACCCCTCCATGTGCAAGGTGCTTCCTTCCACTCCTGCCCCCCGGGAATACCCCATGATAAGCAAATATTTCACAGATTATCCCCTTTCCTGCAGCATTCCACTGCTGAAAGTATATCCTGCCCAGCAAGAGAAATGCATGGGTGAGGTTAATACCAAGCTGGCCACATCTAAATTCTTTCCATTCCTACATGAGTCATTTATTTATCAGCCACATGCTAACCTAATTTGTCTAGATCTTTCATTTCAAAACCACTATGGAGGTTCAGAACCTGTGGAGGTACAGAATTATCCAGGGATCTAAGATTAGAAGTAATCCTGATGGGTGACCACTTGTCAATTCTTGTTTATAACAGGAAACAATGCCGCTGCTACCATGCCTGCTGCCTGGGTTGGAAGCCAGAGGTTAAGTAATGCCCCAGCTCAGAGCCTTATACTTACTTATAAGGCCCAGCTCAGAGGGCTTTCCATGCTATCATTTATTCTAACCTGTAGGTCAGCACAAAAGCACTTTCCTAGTTTTAAAGTAACATCCATTCTATAAAAAAAACTAGGAAAGATATTGACTGACAGACCATTATATAATGAGAACATCTTTCTATTCCCACTCCTGAAATCAAAACCGGAGATGCGAGGTGGGTTTCAAAGGTTTCACCGCCTCCTTGACACTGTATGATTCAGGTGTGGTGGTGGGGGAAGGGGATGGTGACAAGTTCACTGTGCTTAAAAATCCCTAGTTTTCCTCTTTCTCAATAATATCTCTGTGCCCCAAAAGATAGGCACCCCGGCTCAGACACTTATTAGTCAAAAAATACCCAGCAGCAGCAGCATCGGCCCGAGGGAACCTGTTAGAAATGAGGGATCTCAGGCCCCACCTCATACCTACTGAATGGGAGGGGACCTGCACAGTAACAAGAGTCCCAGGAGATTCTAATGAGCACAGGTGTGAAAAGCACTGCTCTGACATTGCATTAATATGACAGAGTGATAACTGGTGTTGCATTTACTCTCATGAAGTCAGCTCCACAATGTTTGTACTTTGTACACTGGGAAACTCACCAACTTTGTACTTTGACCTTTAAAGTTACTTTTTAAATTGCCTGGGAGAATATGCGCATACAGCCTCAGTCAGCTGACATTGTTTTCACCCTTTGCTCTTAAATTGTACGTTAGCTTCTGACCAAGAGCAACAAATGCTAGATATATCGGATCGAAGTAGTCACCCGAGTGCCATCACATCCAGGCTCTCCCATTCTCATCACTCTGCCCTGCTGACAGCTTCCAGCCCTTTCCAGTATCAGTGTCCTCTGCTAACAAACAGCTTGAAGTCATTTTAAAAGTAATCCCAGGCCATCAAGATTAGATAGAGGCCATCTGCTCTAGAAAGGAAACCTCACAAATAGCAATGTCCTATCCATACTGTTTCCTTCTTAAGCAAAGAAAAAAGATCTATCTTTAATCCAAATATAACCTAGCAGTACAATATTTATAACAAAGATGCTAGCTAGAATTATAGCCATAGAGAGCAAATCTCATTCTAGTTCATGAAAATACTTATGGAAAAGCCAGTGTAATCTCCGTAGCGGTTATGAAGGCTGGAGTTATTAAATGCTGAAACTAACCCTTTAGTGCATTCACCTCCTGTAGATTGCAGGAAGGCTGTCAAACTTTCACATATTTCAGAGAGGAAGAGAAGGAGAAAAGCTCCAGGCCCTTCTTTCCCTTCACACCCTACTGACCAATCCTGCTCAACCCCCTGACTCACCGAGACTATTGACTGCT